AGGGGTGGACTAGACCGAGCGCTGCGACCGCACCGCCCGGGCCGCTGTCACCCGTCCCTCGTGGGGGCGGCGCGGGGGCCGGCGGAGGCCAGAAACGCGATCCGTCCTGCCTGCAGCGCGCGCACCGCCCGCATCCCCTGCCCCGCGGCGGAGACCGCAGTCGCGCGCCCCGTGTTTCTCCTCGGGCCTCTCTTCCCGAGGAGGGCGAGGGTGCGTTTGGTTAGGAAATGGCAACAGATGGGGGAAAAGGACGCCCCGTCCTTCCCCTCCCCCAGCCCAGGGATGAAAACGCTCCCCCTCTCCTCTTTGACAGCTGCCCCAAACTCCACGTTCCCAGCGCTAGCCGCAGAGGACAGCCGCTTCTGATTCAAGGGGCGGGGCACTGGCGGAAAAGTATTCGGGACAAGAACTAACTTCTTCCAGAATGCGCGGTTGCTATTGACACGCGGGCGCGGCGCGTCGCACCCTTCTCCTCCCGGGGCTCTTTCTCCAACAGCGACAGGAGGTGGGGAGATGAGACACAGACACTCTAGGCGAATGTCTGTTCCCCCAGGCTAACGCTGCGAGTTCCGGACTGGATTGCAAGGCAGTTTCGAAATCTAACACGTAGCGGACAGACACTTGTCATGCTCACATGCTCTTTAAACGTCTCTGCCTGGGGACGGCCGGGACGAGCGCCCGCCCCGCTGCGACCCGGCCTGACACCCTCCAGCCCTGGATCCGGGCAGCTGCCGCCTTTATAAGAAAGGGATGACCACGGCGTGGCTGCTCATCTGTTTCAGTAAACAGTGTCTACTTTTAGGACTCCAACCCTGCTAGGGGACCCCTCGTCCCCTCCTGTATTTCAAACAGAAACTAGACATTAAGTAAACACACGTTCCTGTTGGTTTATTTTGGTTGAGTTAGTAGGACTCCAGCAGGAGTTCCTTGATGAAATTATCTTTTTAAAAGACTCTTAGATGCTGTTTGATTTCAAGACACCCATGGCCCCTCTGGGTCTAATATTCGCGTGGGTACCCCGTTGTTTTGAAGCAAGCGAACTGTCATATGTCACAGTAAGACTTTCCCTAGCACTTAAAAGAAGAAAAACCCCAAACGTAAATAAGCCTAGTAGAGACGTCAGCGCCGAGTCAGCCTCCACTTTCGGCTCTGTGCTGTTTTTGTTTTGTAACCTTAATGGAGATCCCGGCAGCAGAAAGGTGGAAACAAGGTTCAGCCCAAAGAGGAAGGACTAAGGCAGCCAAAGGATGACTAACTAGACTTTGGAGCCTCTGTTTCAGGATTATGCTGAAAATTAAAGCCAGCCTCCCTGCCCCCCACCCCAAAAGACACCTCCGCCCCAAGAGTGCGTAAGGCTAGAGTTTTAAAAGCTTGGGTGGTTTTTCCAATTACAGGACTTAAAATGAATCAACAAGGAAAAAAGCGTCACTCTGAGAAGGCAGCAACCTTACGATTTATTTTCCTGTGGTTTGCCGACTGCTCGGCACATAGGAGAACACACATCTAAAACAGCATGGGGGTGGGGGGCACGGTCCTGGGGAGAAACCACCAGCCTGGAAGCTACGCCGCAACGCCGGGAGCGCGGTGCCATCCCCGGGCCTGGCTGCAGATGAATCAGCGGCTGCGCCCGAGTGCGGGACAGATGTGGCGCGGGGAGGGGGCCGGCGCCCCCGCCGCCCGTTAGAGGGCCGCCTCGTTATTTCATTTGAAGGGTTGTTTGTTGCTGGGATTGGTGGCTCATATCCGCTGGGGAGCCGGGAGAGGAGGGACGAGAGACGCAGGGAGGAGGAGCCGGGGCCGGCCGACGCTGCCACTCCGCGGGCTGAGTGGCAGGAGCCCCGTCTGGAACCGGGCGGTTACTGGGGAGACGCTTTGTTTGCTAACTTCGAAAGCGGCTTGGGCTGCCTCGGTCGCTTTCGAAGCCACTCCACAGAACACGCCTTCGGCCGGTTTAACCCTCCCCCCGCCCGCTTTCGGCAGCCCGAGACAAAAATGTTTCCTTCTTCCCCGTGGTTATCCTTGGCCACGCGGTGGCTCTCATTATGTACACAAAGGTAGCTTTTCTTTCCTCTAAGTGAACTTGGCTAATTACTGCGATTCTCAGGCAACCGAAATGGAAACCGAGAGTTGGAGCGAGTTTATAGCTTGAAAACAAACTTTACAGGGGAGCGGGGAGGAGCGGAGAGAATTAAAAGCCTCTTTCAATTAGGAGGAGGAAAAAAAGATGTAAACTCACCTTGGCTGGCAGTCCGGCTTGATCCGGCCAATGCACACCTTTTGCTCGAGCAAATCATATCGAAGCAGTTACTAAAGCTGGTGAGATGTACAATTCTGTGGTGCAGCTAACGCCTTATAACTCCCCCCCCTCCCGCCCCCGTAGCTCCCCAAGGCTGGCCCCAAATTTGTTTGGAGCTTTGAATTATTGGCGCATTCTGGGAAGAAAATGCCTGGGGTGTGTATGCAACACAGCAAAGAAAACAACCCCTAAAGTGAGCTCCAAATACCGGCAATTGCTTAGGATATTTTTTGTTTATTCGCTTTTCTCAAGGTGGAAAAACAAGTTTCAGTTCTGGCTCTGTTAGTCCCTTAATGTCTCAGGGCCTCTTTGTAAAGCGGATTCAATGACTTTTAAGATTCTTTCCAGTGTTAAAAAAAAAATTGTATGGATTCACATTTGCTACATATTATTTGCTGAATTCATATGAATGTTAATTAAATTGGGAAACTGCCTGAGTAAAATGAAGACTTTGCTTGGTGCTTGCGGAGGCTGCTCATAAACGTTTTTCACCATTATTTTTTTCTCTCCAGGCACACATAGTTCCATTTAGTGTCTTATCTTCCGAAGCTGCCTCAAGGCCAAGCAAAGAAACAGAGTTATAAAGTTATTTTCACAGCCTGCAAACCTTTCAAAGGCAAAAACTCAAATAGAAACTTGGAAAGGCAAATAAGCCAGAAAAGAGTACAAATAAGTGCAATTATTATTATTTTTTTTGATACCAGGTTCACCGAGTTATTGGAGAATGTATTTATTTCATTCACCTACTCAGCAACTGGTTAAGCATGATTTTCATCAGGTACTGTGTCCTACCTGGAGGAACAATGACTCATGACTCACGCAGTCATCGGATCCCTTTTGCTTCTAGGCTCTGGGAGGCAGATATTTTTACAAAATATGCAGACTGCTGGGCTGCAAACATTGCACAAGGGCTCTATAATCATCACATCTCAGGTCACAGGGTCTCAGGCTGCTTAAAGAGAAGCCGACCATTGTCTTTCAAGGGCCTGGGCTGGGCTGCAGCCATCTTGTGATTTTACCAACCCCATGAGGATAATTTCCTCCTCTTTGCTGTATGAATAATGTAACTATACAACTACTTTTGTTTTTAATCACTTTTCTCCCAGTCTGCACTTCCCCTCCCAGCCCTTCTTTCCCCTCTGTAGAGGTCATCAGTTCTCTTTTTTGGAATCCAGGAGACAGCAAAAAGATGATTTGTCAAGCACAGCCTTTACCCCTTTATTCTCAACATCTTGTGTCTGCGTTGTGCTTTACAGTTTATGAAACACTTATTTAAATGATCTCATTTCATACCCAAACTAGTCATGTAAGTTATTTTTTCCTTAAAGCCCAGATGACTTAACACAAGCAAATATGCTAAAAGGCATAGAACCAGGTATTGGACATAAATTATCTGGTTCTAAATAAAGTGATCTCTAGGAAATCCTATCATTCTGGAAGGTCAGAAGGCTGTAGACGGCAGAGACTGACTTCAGATTACATAGGACACCATGAACACCAGGGCCTCCTGGACACCTGGGGCTTGCTCTCCGAAATCTACCTGGAGTTTTACAAGAGGCTGTCGTCCAAACTGTCTGCTTTTTGTGCTTTTTTCTTTTCACCTCATTTTAATGATGACATTTTAAACACACACACACACACACACACATACACACACAACTTCTCAAAAATTCAAGCAAGAAAGAAG